TCTGTTATAGTGAGTAAGGTTCTTCAAAGGTAAAAGAAGATGCCTAATCAGTCAGAATCGCTAAATGTGGATTTCTTATCACTGAAGGCATTGTAGTTCGTACAAAATCCTTGAAATATATTTCTAGGCTATCTGTCTTCCAGCAAAGACTTCATGCTTGTATTCAGTTTTCTTTTGATATTGATACAAATTTCTACATACCAAAATATGTTAATGTACTGTTGCTTGTCTTATATTCCCGTGGTGTACATTCATTTTAGACTCAAAATTCAAAGTTCAGTTAGTAGATTTGGTCTGTGCAATCACTGAGAACAGTGCTAATCAACTTGGAATCAGAATAAGTATAAAATTTTATACTTTACAGTCTTTGTTAGTTACTGATATAACATTTTTTGGCAGAGTAGTTATTAATCTTTTATTTTCAGAATTTGTGAATAATGAAAAAGTGCACAAACTGTATGTCTCTATAAAACCAGTACAAGGGCCTAATACCTAACTGCTTTTACCAAAAAATGTATGGGTAATTATGTGATTTTCTGAGCAGTAATTATTAACAAATGGTGATAAATATTTAAGCGATGTTTCTTAATGTTAATAATTTATCTTTTCAATTTAAAATCCTTTGGAGATTAAATAGCACTGACAAGTGGTAAATATTTGTATATTGTGAAGTCATTACCACATCATTATGTGATAGTCTCTCAGAAACTATCAAGAATTATTTCATCTATTGAATATCCAGTCAGTGTTTCATTATAGTCCAATGTGGATGCCTACATTATCATACTAAACTTACTTCAGCTTTATGATAGAATGCCGCAAAAAAGACACAACAATTTTTGAGCTCTTTTTGAAAATTCACGCACCAGAATTTGCTTGAAGTTCATCAGGTTTATATTACCTTGCATGAACTTGCTTCCTTGCTGATTATTATTGAGACCTTCTTTCAAATGAAGTGTCAGGATTATGAGACTCACGTGTTGGCGACAACACAAATTGTTGCCTACAATTACAGTTTTACCTACACTTGGGAGGAGTATCTGAATTAATCTTTAAATTCTACGCTGGCTTACGGAATGTATGCAACTCACCATTTAAATGGGTTTGTCCCAGTGCTAGCAGTTGTTTGTAAGTAGTTTTTTAGGTAATTAAACCCATTTTAGGATTCAATGTATTAACTCTTAATCAAACATTTTAAAATTAAATCAGTGATGGGATTAGATTACCAGAATGTAAAAGTAGAGAAGTCAAATATAGCCCTCTACCAAAATACAGGCCGAATGTCTCTTTGACATGAATGAGAGACAGTCTTAAAATACCTTATTTTCAACTCAATATATAAATCAGTATTAAAATTCTGTTAATGTATTGATCAGAATACAAATGCAAATATACGAAGCCCATGTGATTCAAGAGCTTAATGTATTCGTACAGGTGCTAGTTGGATGTCATTAGAGATCTTTAACATGAGTCTCTCATTTTCCTTTTAAATTATGATATCGTTTATATGTGCTGTGTAGAAAAGTTGGAGCCATTCTAAGAAAATTTTCCATTCTTTGATTTTTCTTTGCTTAATTCAGCACACTGACTGAGAATTTAAATATTTTTATTACGTAAATTTTGTGAGGTTTTTAATTTCTTTAGAAACTGACAAAATAAAAATGGGAGGACATATCTCTGGGTGTTAGAAAAATTTTGACAGGAAATCAGAGGAGAACTAGAAATTAGAGCAGAATAGAAAAGACAGATTTTTTTCCTAATATGGAATCCAGATGAACCAAGATTGATTTGATTAATAGTAGTAATGATAAAATTGTAGTACATTAAGAACTCAATCCAGTAGAAACACACAGTATTAATTTCAGTATGTCAGTTTGAGCGTACAGGCTATACATATATTTGTGTTGGTAGAATACCGTGCTTTATACTCAGATACGGAAGATGATACATTTTGAACTGCTTTATTTGTAAATAAGTATTTTTAAACATGCAAAAATAATTACTCAAAGATATGTAGATTCTTCAAATAAATTAGTAAGACAAAGCAATCTTTTTTCTGTAATTGCCCTTCCCAAAAGCTGGTTAAACACATATATATAGTTCCCATTTACATATCCAACTAGCTACATGGATTTTCTTGAGACGTTGTTTTGAGTGTACACTTTGGTTGAGCCCAAATATCGCAAGTTTGCGCTTAATAGAAAATGCCTGTCTAAAACAGTGAGCACAAAGTAAGTTATAGAATGGATGCCCAGCCCAGCCTGCACAACAGGGTTGCTACCATGTTGTTAGAATAATTACATTTTGGCTGAACTAACTAATTTAGAAAAACTGCAGTACATCTAGCGAGACTGAAAACTTTCCAGGACTGGGTTGAGTGTTTTTTTTATTATTTTTTAGTGTAGTTTAAAACAATACCTCTTCTAGCTGCCAACAAACTCTTTAATTCCTGGCTTCTCTCCTAACCATGTCCTGGCTCACCTCCAGAGCTGCCAAGTTTATGCCAGAAGCAGGAGGTAGATTTGTATGGGGCTGGAGGAGGATCTGGAGCTCTGTTAAATTTTCAAGCCCAGATGGGGCAACATGATTTGTGTGTTTATGTCAGTATGCCATACATCACAACTATCTGTGTGCTGACGTCAGCTTTGATTGGACATTAATGTGCTGAACGCTGCAAACTAGAAAATACATGATAGATACAGATCTATGGCAACAATGCCACATAAGCAAATGTCTATTTGGTGTGGCAATTCATTGTGCAAAATATTTCCCAAGATACACTGCATTAAGCCAGGAGAATATTTTGACACACTTTAAAAACAAAACCAAAGTCAACGTGAGCAAACAGACTACAATTTAAGAAGGCAAACTTGTTCAGAAGAAGAGCTGAAGCCAGCATATTGAAGTATGTATCATTAGGCAAATACTGAATTGCTATCCCTCAATTTAATCTTTCCAGAGTTAAGACCAAATAGGAAAGATGCTATTCTTATTTGCAGGACTATTCATGATGAGGATACCTTGCTGATGGTTGAGCAGCTTTCTAACCGCCGTTTTTGTAACCCATTGTTATCAAAACCAGCAAGCAAAAATGTTGATGGACAGCAAACGTTTTTTCAGATGACAGAATCTTTTTTCTCTACCAAGAGTTTAGGGTAGCTTCCAGAAATCATCAGTGTTTGTTTATTTATATAACAATTTTGTATTTCTTGCTTATACAAATAACAGCCT